CCCAAAATGTGTGTTTCCTTCAATTGTACTAGAAGAATATGTTTTATTGATTTGCCAAAATAGAAAAAGCACAAATTAATCACTTGTAGATTAACTTGCGATGAAAGAATTAGTTATTATGGCTTTCACATTTATAGTGTAATCCCAAATTGTTTTAGTTTTTCCGATATAAGCATTCTTTGGACCAAGCCTTAATTGCAATTTTATTGAAATTAACAAGCTAATTATAGAAGTTGCATTGTGCTTATTTCATTAAAAGTGGTCCACAAATAACTTTATTCTTGACTGAGCTGGTTGAACTGAATTCTCAAATGATCCAAATTTTGAGCAAAAGTTTTTACTAACATTACAAGTCCATGCTAATAAAATTTGAACAATCAATGGGAGGATCCACAATTTAATGGGGGTGTATCGGTATACCAGGGGTGGAGCTAGGGGACGCGAGGGGGTCATGTGAAAAAGATTAAATTGTATATACAACGTCAAAATTGAATCCTTTAAGTTTTTCCGTTTGTTTACTATTTTCAATATCTTCTGTTTTTCTTAACCATATGAGCTATAATTTTACCTTACGCAACTTCAGGTTGCTAGTTGGGGGGCTTACTTGCTTTCCAGAGACATCCTTCCAATTTCCTTTGCACCTAAAGATACACATGAAGCTCAAGTTCAATTTGCCCTCGAGCGAGGAGTTCCAGCATTGATTGGCATATTAGCTACTAATCGGCTACCTTATCCTGCAAGGGCATTCGATATGGCACATTGTTCTCGCTGTCTCATCCCTTGGGGAAAATATGGTAATCCCAAATGACATACCTTTGCCTTTTCTACTCCTTCTTCATGAAGGAACATCAATCTTTTTAATTAGTATTTTACTTTTTTATTCATTTGATGTGGTGCAGATGGTCTATATTTAATTGAGGTTGATCGAATTTTACGTCCTGGTGGATACTGGATTCTCTCTGGACCACCCGTTAACTGGCAAGGTCACTGGAGGGGCTGGAACAGAACAGCTGACGATTTGAAAGCAGAGCAAGATCAAATTGAGAATGTTGCAAGAAGCCTATGCTGGAAGAAAGTAACCCAGAGAGGTGACCTAGCAATTTGGCAGAAGCCTACTAATCATGTGCATTGCAAAATTAACCGAAAGGTCTTCAGGAAGCCACCCTTTTGCCAGGAACAAGATCCCGACAAAGCATGGTAATATTCTACTACTCGAATGATTATAATTCAACCAAGGTTAGACTTTAGGAGACTCCACATTCCTGCATCACATCCCACAGGACGCGTTGTTCTTTCGTATATGAATTTCTTGAACAAAGTTTCTAAAAGAGACCTTTAGCTGCATAGACCTTTCAAAGTACCAAACTATTCGACACACTTAAGTGTAGAAAGTTACCATACCTGATAAAAAAATGTCCAACTTAATGAAATCAAAACTATGCTCCACAAATGAAGAAGAATAAATTAGTATTCCTTAAATGTGTTTATTGATAACTTTAATCCTCCAGGTACACCAAGATAGATTCTTGTTTGAGTCCACTTCCTGAAGTGTCTAGCGTTAAAGATGTCGCTGGAGGGCCGCTGGCGAATTGGCCAGAAAGATTAACTACGGTCCCTCCTAGGATTGCTAGTTCTAGTATAGAGGGAGTTACTGCAGAGGGGTTCTCTGAAGATACAGAATTGTGGAAGAAGAGAGTCGCCCACTACAAGGCATTGGACAGTCAATTAGCAGAACGTGGAAGGTACCGTAACATACTTGACATGAATGCTTGGCTGGGAGGATTTGCAGCTGCACTTGTTGATGATCCAGTTTGGGTCATGAACATCGTCCCCACTGAGGCTGAAGTCAATACTCTTGGAGTTATCTTTGAACGTGGTTTAATTGGAACATACCAAAGCTGGTAAAGCCTACTGCTCCTGTATAAAGTTCATTTTTGCTGTTGCTTTCCTAATTGTGACTGATGAATGCTGTTTTCGTTTAGGTGTGAGGCAATGTCAACATATCCAAGAACTTACGACTTCATACATGCTGATTCGGTCTTCACCCTATACCAGGACAGGTAATTAACGTTTGGAAGGTTCACATTTCTGGAGGAATGTTTCTTGAATGTATGATTCACATTTATGTATTGCAGATGTGAAATGGAAGATATATTATTGGAAATAGATAGAGTATTAAGGCCACAAGGCAGTGCAATAATCCGAGATGATGTGGATGTTTTGGTAAACGTGAAGAGCATATTAGACGGATTACAATGGGAAAGCAGGATGGTTGATCACGAAGGCGGTCCTCATGTTAGAGAAAAGCTTCTAATTGCAACTAAACTGTATTGGACAGCACCAGCACCTGGTCAAGATAAACAATGAGTATTCTATACTGTGGCTAGGACCAATTCTTTACTTACTTTTGTTGATAAGTTTTTTGTTTGTTCTATGATTTTTCATTAACCTCTCTATCTTTTGGATTCAAAATAAACAAGTGGATATTGAGGTTTTTCCCTGAGATTTTGAATCTTACATACTGTGAAATGCAAAATTTGGTATAGAAACCAGATTTTAGATGATATTAGTGTTTAAATGACTCTAGATTGTTTTCTTCTACAGTAAATCAATTGGAATCTAATCTTAGAATTGTACAATTTGAATTTACCACATTTTAGTGGATGAATTATTGTCTTATCTTTTTTCTCTGTGTGTGTTTTATCGTGATATGTTTGGAACAAAATTAAGTTAATATTTCTATTTAGCTAATTGTATTGTTAGTCCGTAACTGTTTAGTTTTCTTATTATGATCTGAATTTTGGTTTGAGTTGTATATATCACGTAAAAGTTATTCAGTTTCGCAGAAGCTTTGTGTCCAACAAGTCAAACTTAATATGTATTATTAGGATTGTTTTATTTGTTGAGTTTGAGACTTGGTTAGAAAGTTTTAAAACCATTTAATATTATCTTGTAAATATTCGTGTTAGCATTTTAAATTAGAATTAGAATTTATAAAAATGATAAGATTATATATTTTTTAAAGTGGATTGGGCCACTTCAAACAACAATCCACACAGTAATGAATTGGGCTGACTATTTTATAGTCCATCAAAATGATGAGTCAATCTAACCTGACGCATCAAATTTTAAAGTTTGTATGGACTAAGCACATCCCATTCCATATTGACAGCTCTACGTGAGAACCTTAGCTTATCAATTTTACAGTGACCAAATAAGGGCATAATTCATGTCCAATGAAAATTTAATAACCAAATAATGGAGCAACCATTACTTATAGCTCAAAAAACATAGAAGAATACAATAATCCACACATCAATGACATGACATATAATTAATTTACTGAAATGAATTTGTTCTTTATTCCTTGGCTCTATTTTGAAATGGGAAATGTCAAAGCCCAAACATTAATTTATCCAACATTATGGATTTTGCAATATCCTCATGTCCATTTCAGAGATAGACTTTCAAGTCCAATCCATAACTTTAACAACACAAATAATATCTCCTTATTTCAAGCTTTGACCTGCAACTATCCTTTTTCCTTTGGGGCTCATGCCATCATTTAAATTTTGCCCTCGATTTAAAAAAATGCTAAACTAATTTTTTCTCTATAATTGGGAACACAATCTTGACGAGTCGTCATGATTTCCTATTTGAAATTGGGCAAGTCTTGCCTTAACATCCAAATCCTAACGAATCGTTAGGATCTGGTTGAAATATGCGACTCATTAGAATTTATGGGTGAAATACTAACTATTATCATAACTTACGCAAAAGTTTACCGACAAATTTTTGCTTCTTATCCCATACCAGGATATAGTAAAAAGTATGATCTATTCTCGAACTGCGGAAGAACTATGGAAAGAGTTAGAATAGAGGTATATATGAACAAACCGGTGGACTAAAATGTTCCCATTTGCATAGAGAGCTTAACAACATCTCTCAAGGGACTTGATGTTGTTGGATTATAATTTAAATATGGAATCATATTTTTAGGATAAGAATTATTTTAAATAGTCGCCCATCCTCTGATTAAATGAAATGTAGTCGAAAGATATTATATAATATATATAGTCGGCAGACAATTGGTAGTTCGATTTCATAGATGCTTTTTTGGTTTGGTCCTCCTATTTATTTATTGTATGACACGATGAACCAACTTTTAGACCTTGAGCTCTTAAATGTTTGTGCTGCTCAATTATTTCCCTTAGATTAGGCAAAGCGTTGTCTTAAAGACTTTTTACTATTTGCCAAATCAATTATATCAAAATGTCAAATATTACATATTGAAATATTGTATCAAAGTGGAAATTTGTTGTATATAGTAATTAATATAGTAGTATATGAGGGCTATTTTAGTTCGGTCCTAATTTTTTTTTTAATCCTAATTAATGGTGCCGCAACATTTGAACAATGCGTAAGAGAGATATTAAGCCTTGCTAGCTAGCCATGTGAGAGGATTGGTTGAGAAATGTGACACCTACACTTTAATTTCGTTTTTTCAAGTTGTTTTGGCTAGTATTTCATTTCTTTTTTTCAAGGAAACCTAGAACATAGTTTAAATATCCGCCAAAACCAAAGTATGTACCTACTACTTTTAGCACAAACTAAGATAACCTTAATATTAGGATATACCCTTATCATATTATTTAAAAGTTGTTTATTGAATTGTGAGCTAGTAATCGAGAAATAAGGCAAGTGCCATACTATGTTATTAAAGGTAAGTGACATGCTATATTATATCTACAATAACGGGTGGGGTTCCGGGGATTTCTCACCCGATCCTGTAATTATATTAAAAGTTAAAACTCATAAGTAAGTAAATGGATGTTTGATTCCATGGCAAGGAAGATACCCTGAAGAGGTGCTGCGCTTTTTTTTTTCTTTTACATAAGTAATCATTCAATAAAATATTATACTTCTTTATATTTGTTCGATTGTTACAACAACAACAACATAATAATAATAATTTATTTTATTAGAAATTTATACAAAGGTCATGGTATTAATCTATTATGTTTTGCCTTGTGTATCCAGAAAATGAAGGAATTGATGGAATTCCTAAAGCCAATGAAACCATTCTCCTTGCTACGATTTATACTGCTCAACCTACAAGTCCCTCCACCAAGTAACATATCTGCAAAATCCCACAACCCAACTTCTTCTAACTTTGTCGAAATCAAGTTATTGTCTCTCACAATCTTATCCCACACAGGCCCCTTGTCCTTCATCATCTCAGACAATGTAATAATCCTCTCCGTCGCGTCGAATTCCATATATTCAACTCCAATTTCTTCAGCCAACACCTTCCACAAATGCTTCCATTTGAACACATCGCCGTTGGTAATGTTGAATGCTCTGTTTTTCCCCTGCGGACACATTGCTGCCCAAATTTGATGCTCTGCCACCAAATTAGCATCTGATGCATTCGAAAAACTATCCCAAACGGCTTCTGTCCCTGGAAATTTCATCGGAATGCGTATGAATTTGCATATTGTTGCGTATACGCAAAGTGTTCCAATAATGTTCAACGAGCTATAAGGTGAAAACCCGAAAATTAAATCAGGCCTATGGACGGACCATGTTAGGCTTGGTTTTCTAGAGACTTCATCGAATAGTACATCTTCTAACGTGTAATAAAAGTTGTGAATGTTTTCCAATCTTTTCATGTCTTCGTTGAAAGGCGGATCATGAGAAGTAACATGAAGTTCCCCATCAATTGATTTGTGAATTCCCATATAATGCATCCCGCCCGTCTGGAGACAGATGTGGCGTAAATTAGGTGCATTTGGTATGACACAAGTGAGGACATTGCGAAACATTGCTCCATTGATTTCACAACTTTTAGCTGTTGAAAGGTTAAAAGCCAAAGTCACCCAAAAGATGTGTGTCACATCTTTTAGGGTCGATAATTTGGCTTGTACATCAGTTGCTTTAGAGACATCGCATTGAATGTATGTGACTTTAGCAATGCTACAGACTGGCGTCCCCCGTCTTGACACACCATAGACCTTCCACGGACCGCCTGGGGTGTCAGTGGATGAGAGTGTTCCAGCCAAACTGTTGCCAACTACACCAGTGACTCCAATAATAAGGCCAACATTTTGGTAGCTTATTTCATGTGTTCCGCGATACTCAACATTTTTCTGCGAATCACAAGTTTTTGACACACATGTAAATGTTCGATTTAAAATTGAAAATATTAACAGATTTATAAAAGCAGATGAAAAATTTGGAAAAAAACAGAATTCTTTTGTGATATTATCTGGTCATTTTTTTCTTACCTGCAGTGCATTATTGATAGATCTTGACAACCACCAGTTCATTCTATGGAAGTGTGCTGATAGGCAAAAGTATGGACTTGTTTATTAGGTCTTGTTGTACAAAAAATTGAATCACTTTATAAGGACTACTTCTTTGTGGAGTAAACATGAAGCAACCTATCGAAATCAGAATTTTAATTTCAAGTGTTATTAACTGGATTTTAAACTTAATATTTATACATATTCAATAAACTTCTTAATGCAACTACACTATTTGAATAAAATTTAGTAAGTTCGGCTGAACCTATATTATATAAGGAAAAATCACTTCATATATCTATTTAAGGCTTAATATTACAGCCCGTACTTTTTTTATATTACTACTTATAACAGTTTAATTACAAATATTAACAGATTAGTTTTAATTTATAATTTCATTAATTTAATTTAATTAATTAGTTATTATTTTTATAATTACATTATAATTAATAAGTAAGAGAAATAACATTAATATTAGAGAATCAATTGTCATTATCTCTTCCACCATTTTAGGGATAACATTAATATTAGAGAATCAATTGTCATTATCTCTTCTACCATTTTAGAGATTTTTTTCCAGATTTCACACAGCAACCCCCACCTTTCTCTTTTACCCACACGTAAATCCCACACCCCCACCCTCACGTTTCTCTTTTACAGAGAACTAACTTTTTCTCTCTCACCATCTTCAACGTTCGTCTTCTTCATTCAAAAAGAAAATTAGTAGAACTCCCACATTTATAAGATTTAATGGTGGGATGAGATCTACACACGAAGAATGTTGAAATTCCTGCAAAGTGTGGTTCCTCTCAGTTGAAGGATCAAAAGGAGAAAAAAAATAAAGCAAAGAAAATGGTGAGTCCGGCAAATCAAAAGGGAAAGAAGAGGAAGGAGAAAATTGTAGAAACCCCTTTTGATTCGAATTCTGATTTTGTTAGTGAAATAAAAAAGAAAAAAAGCAACAAATGTAGAAATTGCTCAATTTTCAAAACCATCAACAAGAAGAACAACAAAAAAGAAGGAATCAGAAATTCGAATATCCAAAAAAGGCAAAAAAAGTTGTTAGGGTAAGTATTATATTTAATTTAGTTTCACATTATTCAAATTAGTGATTTTTTTGCTAAAAATATCACATAATGCTTATTGTTGTTTCGAAACTTTTGTTTGGGTGAAACTTGTATGAAATGTGAATAATATTTATATGAATCTCACTTTAATATATGATTTTGGGATATTATATGAAATGTGATATAATATTGGTATGCAAATGGTATGAATTGTGTTTTGACATTGGTATGAAATTGGTTTGATATCAGTAGCCCAATAGTATGAGTTGTTAAATTGGTATGCAAATGGTATGAATTGTTAAATTACTCTATTTGTATGAATTATGACTAATATTGATATGAAATTGAGATTTTTTCTAATAGGAAGGTTTCTTTTTCAATTTCTTCATTAATGTATTTAAATTTTTAACATTGGTATGAAAATGGTATAAAATGATTTTTCTTTCAAAAATTTTTCAGTGATTGTGGTTTGTACACGTGTCTATTTGCTGAATACATCAGTAATGGAGTTTTTGATATGCGTTCTGTTGATATCGATGCAAAGTACCATCGTCAAAGGTATGCCACAATCATATGACATTATGGAAAAACAAAGAATGATGATGGCGCGACCAGTGAGAGTGAAGTAACTGGCACTATTGCTAGCAAATTTGATGGACCCCGCATAGCAAAAGAGCATGCTCCGAATACCAGCAATTATCCCACACCAAGACCACAGAGATCAAATTTGAGATACTTGATTGCACCTTAGACTTTTTAGAATTACAAGTGTTTTTTTTTTACTTTTGGACGATATTTTTGCGTTTGTTACAACTTTAAGTATTTGATATATATAATATCCACTGTTTTATTTCAAAAAGATACCAATTACATATGAATTACAGATTGACTATTGTAATCGCAGGATACTAGTTATATACAGACTGCATTCCAAATGGATACATCATTCTAAAGATAAATTACACATTGACTATAATAATTCTCGGGATAACAGTTAAATACAAAATGCATACAAATTGGATTCAACATTTAGAGTTTATGATTTTACAATGTCTTGTTAACTAGAAAGAAATCATACTACTAATTTAGAGTTCATGAACTAACTCTAACTTATAATTGGTATCCAAAATGTACACCTTTGGCATCCAAATTCATATTCTAACACAAAAAAATAAAAAATAAATGAAGTTGGTATCCAACATGTATAAATACCTTGTATAAACGATTATGCCAATGTAAAATAGTGATAATTGTATTTTGTAACAACCTCAATTACATTTTTGTTTTACATTTTTTTCATCCTGGACAATTTACAACCTAATTGTAAATTATATTGTCTTAACAAGCGTGGATTAAGTATTTTTAAAGATGTATGAAGTTGTATACAATCTGTATAAATACTGGAATAAACGAATCTTACAATTTAAAACAGAGATCATTAAATGTTGCACGAACATCAATTACATCTGGTTTTATTTTGTTTTTTTTGAAAATGTATAAAATAAGACTTTTTAATTAATTTTAACATATTAGAGTGAATTAAGGAAAACAAATATTCCTAATTAGTTTGAATCTCCTAAATTTATGCTAATTAAAAATTATCACCAATCAATTCAAATTTAATTAATACATCTATTTCCATTTTTCTAGTTTTTTTCTTTATTATTTCTAATTCCGTTTTTTTTTTAATTTTCGTTTATCTTTTTTTTTAAAAAAAGTTTTTTCCAATTAATAAAAACATTTCTTTTTTTTGTAAATTTGTTATAACCTGAAATTTTTAATGTTATAGCTTGAAAGTCTAAATCTACTGCTATAGCTTGAAAATAATACTATAATATATGTCATATATGAAATTTACACATTATATAATTGTACAATAAAGAGTTACATGATATATTAGAAGAGTATTTTTTATGACAAGTCATTCTCTCTTTTTAAAGTATTTAAGAATTGATTGACTTTGCCACTACCATTTTTTCTAATACTAAATGCACGAACTGACAACTACGTTTTGTAGTCTGCGATTCAAACATAATGTGCATTCACCATCTTATTAAAAATAAATAAATTGAAATTTAATATAATTAATCTACGACATGCATATATGTTAAAGCAATTTGATATTTCGTTGAGTGGACTTGATAATTAATACTCATGTCGTGTACACTGATTTATTCATACACCCAAATGAGTTTAATATTCAAATTGTGCCAACCCATAACACAATTTATTGTACCAAGTTATATTATATGTAGTGACAAGTTATTAGGTATATGCATGTGCTTCTAATTAGTACACTTTAAGACAAGAATCGGTATAAGAGAAATCAATTTAAAAAAACTAAAGCAATACATTACAATATTCCATTATTTTGTAAAGTTGCACTACAGGTTGAATGCATATAGGACCCGGTTCTTCGAGTTAATTTCTCAAATAATTATTCAATTAATAGTTGTTATTTCAAAAATTTACTCAACAAATGATAATTATCTCAAAAAAATTACTCAATTAATTACTCCCTCTGTCCCATTTTATGTGGCACCATTTCCTTTTTGGTCAGTCCCAAAAAGAATGTCACATTTTCTTATATGGTAAGTTTATAAAGGTACAATTCTTCTTTTATCCTTGTTGGTCCCACTTAATCTTAAAATAATACTTCAATACATTTATGAGGAGAGAGAAAAAAGAATCTACTTTTTAAAGGGCAATTTGGTAAACATTTCAAAGTCTTCATTTATTTCTTAAACTCCGTGTCCGGTCAAATGTTGCCACATAAAATGGGACGGAGGGAATAATAGTTATTTACTTTTTTTATTCTTAATATTATAATATAAATCAATTAAAAAGCTTTGATCCGACCCGTCCCGAATCAATCCAAAATCCATATACACAAATTAAAATATTAAAGAAACAAAATTTATATGAAATGACTGCTACCGGCAGATCAGGACAAATTTTCATCAATCACACATTATATAGTTTCATAAAATGAACCTTCTTTTGTCCCTCCTGCTCGAGCCTTGACTAATACATACGCCCAACAATAACAATGGTAATACTTCGTATAATTTCACAAAATGGGATTTGTGGATGGTAGAGTATAGATGAGTCATGCTTAAGGATAGATGCGAACATTATTGATCCTGATTTGAATGGAGGGTAGAACGTAAGTAGTTTTACCTTACCTCGTAGAGATAGAAACTATTTTTGATAAACTTTCAGTTTAAGTAAAATATCTCAAAACAGTTATAAAAAGAGAATACATAAATGAAAGTAATAACAATAATGAAATAAAGCTCTACGAAAAACAGAACATAGCATACAAAACAAAAAATTAGTAACAATAACAAACTAGCGTGATCCCTAGCACAAGAAAATAATACACAAATAGTAATTGCAAACAACGAACAAAAAACTGCAAGAATAAAGCTAATACTATTGGTAAGTGAGTAGGTAGAAATACAACCACTTATCTTATCCGGTAAGAAAGTGAGAAAACATCCAGTTATCAACTAACATTCTACTCTAATTCGCAACCTCTAAATCCTTTTATTTAAATTCAAGGTTCGTCATGTCTAATCATCTTCTCGTATTTATTTGAAACTTGATATTTTAATATTTTTTTTCCCAACAATTCCTCAAAGTCGGACATGTGTTTGATTATTCAAGCAAAGTTGGACCGAAAATATTATTTTCCTTCTCTAATTTTACTTTATAGAAATCAAACACTTCTCCAAATTTTGAATAATTAATATTCTCACTCCATAACCTTTGGAATGTCTGCCTCCCGTAGTATCCTACTACCATTATCAATTTTTTATTCCTGAGAACAAAATATCAGTATATCTACAGTTCACTTTTTTATTTCGTAAAAAAAGTAAGTCTTTTTACAGAATGAACTTTGTATCCCAAAATTGTCATTACTCCAATTTTTAAATCTACATATATGTTTGTGTGTGTGAGTAGGCGGCCTAAACGTGGTTTAATAATGAAGGGAAAGAGTTCAAAATTTCTAACTCATTAATTATTAAATCTACAAATTTAGTCCGGCACCTTTCTTTATCATTCATTAATAGTTTGATTCAATTTTGTCTCTATCGTTATTTAGTTGGACCAATTATGTCTATAATTCAGAAGTGTAACTAATTTGTGATCAATGAATTGAATTGAGAATCATGAATTCTCAAGTTTTAATTCTAACTGAGACAAAATACTAGGTAATTTCTCCTTATCTATGTGCTAAACTTGATCGACAGAGTTATCTGATACTTGTTGCTGGTGGGAGCTAGAAGGCAAGTATCTCGTAGAATTAATAACTTGTTTGGAAAATGAACCTACACAGAGAAATATGTAGGATGATTCCCACACGAAAAGGGAGGACATAGGCCTTAATTACCTCCTAAGGCAAAATACAGTGGAGCACCATAAGCTAGTGCTTAGCAATTGGTGAGATCTAAGTTAGATACCTAACATACATCATATAGGATGATTCCCACGTGAAAAGGGAGGCTAATTCAATAAACTAAAATCAGTTTCTTAATGGCAATAAATATGAATATTAATATAGAGTGTTAAAATTTTAGAGTAATTTCTCTGGACAGTCACCCATGTTTGAGAAATTACCTAGGAATATCACTTATGTTTGTTTTAGGACCACAATATCACCCAACTTTACCTCTTTTCCTCAAAATATACTTGACACAAAAAAAAATATTATTTCTCTCCTAATAGGATGCCATGTCACATTATTCCTTTTTTATTATTAACATTTTTTTTAATTCCTTTTTTATTATTAACATTTTTTTTAATTCTTTAAAAAATTATATCCTTTGTAGTTTGACAATATGATTTAACCAAAAGGGCAAAATGGCTCCTGACGGAGTAATTTTCTTCTGACAAAAATTGACGCCGTTTTGTTAAAAGAAATGAAATCGCTGCCTCAAAAAATAAAAAATCATTATTTCTTTAAAATCGCTGCTATATATATATATATATATATATATAAAAAAAAAACTATTTTTGTTAAGGAATTAAAAAAAAACATAAAGAACAAGTTTTAAATTACATAAATTTCCGACGGCAGCCATTGAAAAAAAAAAAACAAGTTTTTTAAAGAAAAAATCGCTACCGAGGCAGCGGTTTTCAGTTTTTATTTTTTTTTAATTTTCATTTAAATCGCTGAAGGGTAAAGATTTTTTTAAAAAAAGTTTTTTATGAAAATCGCTGGCTTCAATTTTAATTTGTTTTTTAATTTTTATTAAATTCTCTGCAAGGGTAGTATATTATTTTTAAAATAATTTAATTTCTCAAACAAAATCACTGCTATAGCAGCAATTTAACTTCAATACTTTTTTTAAAAAAAATCTTAAACAAAATCGCTGCTATAGTAGCGATTTTAAAGAAAAATATTTTTTTGAGAAAATCGCTGTGAAGGCAGCGATTTTTATTTCTTTTAGCGGAATGACGTCAATTTTTTTTAGAACAAAATCGCTCCGTCAGGAGCGATTTTACCCTTTTGGTTAATTTTTTTTTTTGATATGCCGTTTTTGTTTTTTAAAGAAAAAAAATTGTCATTTTGGTTCCGGATTCAACAAAAAGGTGCCATTGCCCATTAGTGCCCATATAAAAACATTATCTCGCTTGAAAATCCGGAGGAAGCCACATATTTTCTTGAAAAATCGGAGGAGCTCATATTTGGATTTGCCGCCTAATCCCCCAGGACTAGGGTAGAAATTTTTGGGCTATGTAATTTTTTTTACTAGGTAATATGGGTTGTCCAATTTTTTTAAAAAAATGTTAATAATAAAAAAGGAATAATGTGACATGGCATCCTATTAGGAGAGAGATAATGCTTTTTTGTGTCAAGTATATTTTAAGGAAAAAATGTAAAGTTGGGTGATATTGTGGTCCTAAAACAAACATAAGTGATATTCCTAGATAATTTCCCATACATGGGTGACTATCCAGGGAAATTACTCTAAAATCTTACTAATATTAGTTAATTTTCTTTGGATCTAATAAACAAGGCTATGATGGATTTGAGCCTTAATGCCTTTGAGATACCATTACCTTGAAAGGTTCAATTTAATTTATTGAGGACATTTTTAATCCAATTTGGTTACTATTGCAATTATGCAATACTTATAATAATTATAGTAATTTTTCTCATCAATTTAAGAAAACAAATAGCTAGAGCTCATTCTATGCCACTTTTAAGCAACTTCAAATGTCATTTTTATATAACATAATATTGCACATGGAATCTTTCCTTGAGTAAGAAGATGTATGATCCTCTGAATTTGGTCAATAATTTGGCATTGAGATTTAATGAGACCATTGATCATATATTAATATAAATGTTGTGTATTCAGTACCTGTCCTAAATATATTCAAATGCGCATACTTTCATAACGCCTATTAAATGTACACCTCTGTATCCTGCATAAATTTAATATAATATGTGATACTATTTGATTTAACATGAAGTTTAAGAAAAAATGTAAGACTTTTAAAATTTGTGGTCGAAATAATCATTCAATATTTCAGTGGTCGTACATTAGTAAAAGAAGAATTTTAAAGTTAAAATATTTCTAATGATAGTAAAAACGAAATTGGACAAAATTCATAAAATGCCACTACACAAAATCGTGTGTATGAATTGTGATTGAAGAAAATAGTTACTCCTAACAAGTGCGTATTTCATGCCTCTTTCAAGTTTTGAGGGTCTCAGATTTGCCAACAATTATAAGTGGATTGCCGCTTTGTCCCAATATTCTTTGCGTAGCTCAAGGTGCAGTCAACTCAAGGAAAACCTTACCCACAAAAGAAGAAGCATTCAATTTATATATTTGACCCTCATATTAAATTATGCCAGTTGCTTGACATTCCTTCCGCTCCATTTTAATTATCGTGCTTATTAAAAAATAAATGATTCATAATATTTATTTAGAAATCGAATTGTTCTAATTCATATTACTTTTCTTTTTAGTTTGTTTAAAAAAATAATACTCCCTCCGTCCCATTTTATGTAAGGTAGTTTGATTCGACACGAAATTTGTGGTCTGAAATAAATGATAGAAATTTGTATGATTATAAATCATTTCATTAAGAGTAAAATGAATATTTTAAAATTAAATTGTTACTTAATATAAAAATATGTCATTATTTTTTAGATTGACTGAAAAGGAAAAAAGGTTATGTAAAATGGAACGGAGGGAGTAACTCTTTCCTAATTTGGCAACTTTTTGATTTGTACTGTTGTACATTCCACTTTGGCATCTTTAAAATTAGTAGATTAGTATTTAAAAGATATTTTAGTATATTAAACATATATTTTTAATATAACATCACAAAATTCAAAAATTTCTTTATTTTCTTGAACTACTTGTTAAGTCAAATTAAGACAAATAAATTTAATTATTAATTTTTACCTTGTAGTTAATAAATGTAAAGAGTGCTTAATATGTTGATGACAAAGAAAGTAAACATAGACCAGATGAAGTAGTATTATATATATATGTAGATCCACGAGCGAAAAAATGTCAGAAGAGAGAAGGAAACCTAAAAACAATATCAAGTTATCCGGCGCTGCAGCAAGAAAATTGCTCATTTTCCAATGGCAAATAAGCTCAGGTAATTCCTATATTCAGTTTCAGTTACAGTTACGAAAGCAAATAAGACTTTTGAATTTTTTAATCGTAAAATATGTTTGTTCTTTTTTTGTGGCATCAGGTTAGAGGGTAAAGTAGCTGTAATAACAGGTGGTGCTAGTGGCATTGGTGAAGCAACTGCGAGATTGTTCGTTGAACATGGGGCCCACGTCGTCATTGCCGACATTCAGGATGAACTTGCTCTCCAAGTCGTCTCCTCTATCGGATCAGACAACGTCTGCTACCGACGCTGTGATGTAACCGATGAGAAACAAGTAGATGAAACTGTCGCCTTCGCTGTCCAAAAATACGGTACACTCGACATCATGTTCAGCAACGCCGGCATCCTCGGCCCCTCCGGGAGCTTACTCGAAATGGATATGGCGGTATTTGACAGGACAATGGCTGTAAACACGCGGGGAGCCGCGTTAGCCGTGAAGCACGCGGCTAAAGTAATGGTAGCTAAAAAAATCCGCGGCTCCATAATATGTACGGCTAGCGTAGAGTCTATTCTAGCTGGTGCAGCTTCGTTGGCGTACATCGCATCGAAGCACGCCGTCCTTGGTGTGGTGAAAGCTGCGGCGCGTGAGCTGGGGCAACATGGAATTAGAGTGAATTGTGTATCGCCTTTTGGCGTAGCCACGCCGATGGTGTGCAAATCGTTTGGCGCTGATGCCGCCGATATTGAAGCTATAATATGTGGAAATGCAAATTTGAAAGGTGTTTCTCTAACCACAATGCATATAGCAGAAGCTGCGCTTTTCTTGGCGTCGGATGAATCGGCTTACATTAGTGCTCATAATTTAGCTATCGATGGTGGACTTAGTTCTATCATGAAAATAAATGTTAACTAAACCGGGCAGTACATTGTTTTGTTTCAATAAATGCTAACAGCCTGTTTATGGCCCGTTAGTTTAAATATAATATTTGTGTAATATCTAATTTTAGTGCAATTTTATGTCACCTTATTAAATGAGAATATTATTGTTCAGTATTGTATAATTTAATTTATTTTTTTTCATAAATAGAATAATCCTATTTTAAATGAAATTACTACGGAATATAATGCTATTTTTAAAGATTTTTATTTATTTAATACATCCACTAAATACATATGTAGGTATGGATGTGTGAGTATATATATATTTATTTATTTATGTAATGTCGAAACATTATATACACCTAGAGGTCATTTGGTTTGAATACTAGTTATGTTGTGATTAGTTATGTTGGAATAAGTTATACTGAGATAAGTTATGATGTGATTAGTTTTTATTGCTTGTTTGGTTTGTCATATTCAAACTAATATTCATTGTAAATTTTTTGAGAATAACTTGTTTGTTTACAAAAATACCCTCACCTTATTTAGTTTTTTTTGTTTTTACATTTTCTTTGCAAGCTTTAGTTATTCATTCTTAAAAATAAAATTTCCATTTTATTTAGCTTAAATATTTTTGTGTGTGCATTTCCGTGATTGTGCCACATGTTTTAAAATTTAAATGTTCATCTTATTTAACTTAAAAATTAAACTTTCATCTTATCTAGCTTAAAAATAAAATGTTCATCTTATTTAGCTTAAAAATAAGATTTTGATCTTATTTAGCTTAAAAATAAAACTTTCATCTTATTTAGTTTAAAAATAAAACTTTCATCTTATTTAGCTTAAAAATAAAACTTTCATTTTAAGTTTATTAAAGTAAAAGAAAATTTATTATTAAAGTTACCTACATTTTAATTATAGATAAAATATAATTATTAAGTGAGTAATAAACTATTTAATGAAAAATATGTAATTTAGTAGTGGAGTGACATTTTAAGAGAAATCAAAATATAAATAAACATAATAATTACACAAATAAATTCAACTTATAATATATTCATAAATAAAAATTGTATTTATAAAATGTAAATTTTTAATAGAAAAATATATTTATCATAAAAACAACGAATAATTAAGGTTGTGAGTGTTATTATGTTGTTAAAAATTATGTTAATATGTATGAATGTAAAAGTGGTGTATAAAAGAGAGTTTAAGGGGGTATTTTTGTTAATTTACACATTTTATCCCAGGATAACTTATCCTGGGATTACTATACCACCCCCAGTGAGAGATAACTTATCCTAGGGCTAATTGTTAATCTCGAGATAAGTTATCCCTACCTTTGCAACCAAACAATGAATTAAAAGCCACTAAAAAATTATCCCATGATTAATTTATCTTATCCATCACACCAAACGACCCCCTACAGTACTCTTTTAATTAAACAGAGTACTATTTTGGTCATGATATATTTACATAAGAATCCCTTCTTATATATCCATGTGTATTGTTTATACAATTTTTGTACACTTCAAAAGTTCATCTTTCTCAAAATAATTTACATTTACGAGAGATAAAAATTTAAAACAAAATAAATCTATTTCATCAATTTATTAGTACCTACAATTAAAGCTAGAATTATTTGTAAATTGAGAGGAAGGTGGAAACATGAACCCGTCGTCAAAATGGGTAAGGAATAACAAATGTATAATAAACATTACTTGGGTACTAATATAAATTGTATAATAAAGAGGAACGGATAACCATTTTGTATAATAAACAATAGTTGGGTTATATTGTGTAAAAAATTTTTTGACTCAATAAACAATTTGTTTAACTTTTCCATCTAAGAAATACTTCTCATTTCCAGTAATATGGGTTGTATAATAAATGAGCAATTTATCGATTCCATCCAAAAGTTATTTGGACTGAAATATGCAGCTAAAAAGTGGATCAAAACTTAATTCGTTCAATTCTAAAAAGGGATGATTAAGCTAAATGATCCTTCGGCAATAATCCTTTTTCAAAATAGCTCAATTATCATTTGACTTTTCAATTGCAAGTGAAGTACATTTCGCACTTTCTTGTTCGTCTTCTTTGATTTTCTTCTTCCCGTCGTTACTGTATTCTTTAATTCTTCTTTCTTAATCTTCCTTATTTCTTCGTTGTTTTTCTCCTCCTTCTTCTTACATGTTCAAATTAAACCTCAAATTTTAAAATCGACATGCCGTAAAAGTGAATCATTTTGCGTGAATAATAGATCAAAAGACTCGAAATATTTAGAGGAGCTCATATCTAAATTTTACTTTGGGATTGTTTAGAGAGATTTGACTTGGTTGGGATGTGGAAAAAATCAATTTGCAATTTATACTTTATTGTATCTACAATGTATAAACACCTCTGATATATAGTTATATACATCATCTATACGCAAGTACACACTATTAAATTATTTATATAATATGAATTTATTATATAAATATAACAATAATTACATATACATATGCCCATTTTGTTGGGAACAATTTTTGTTGCTGGTACATTTAGCGCTAATTTTGGCCTATTTTTATAGAGTAAATTTTAGGTTTAGTAAACATAAAAATCATATTTGTATGTTATAGCTATAGTTTAAATAATTGCGCTCCATAACAAATTTTATGTTTTCTATGACTATTAATATGTATATTTTGGTATACTTATACATAAAAATCAATTGTATAAGTATATATTTGGAATCTGCATACAAATAAGAAACTGACTTGGTTGTAAGTTGTATAAGTATATGTTTGTTGTGATTTTCAGTCGTCTATGTATATGTGTATTATATAAATTTAAATATAGATATGTATATGTACATGTAACTGTATTTTGTATACAGCTGTAAGTTGTAGCTTTATACAAACACAAATTATACATTGTAATCTGTATAATTTGTGTTTGTATAAAGTGAGAAAGACAAAGAGAATGGTAGGAGAAGATTTGTATTTGTATAATTATAAGTGTATATGACGAAAATATATGTACTTATATTTGTATATACAGTTTTCTCTTGCTTTACATAAACACAAACGCAGTTTATATTATACATTTGTGTTTGTATAAAGTGAGAGAGGCGAATAACAAAGTATTTGCTACGGATTAAAATTAATTGAAACTGTGGTTATAACATTTAATTTGAATTAATAGTTTACTTTTATATATTATTTTTTTTCCCATTTTTGTATAATAATGAGTAAATAAAAAGTTGTACTTATTTATTTCAAAAAAATTCAGGCCTGTTAAGCCCCAACTTCTTCAGGCCCAACTCTTTTGTTGTTTATATGTTATTTCATTTGATATTGGGGTTTGAGCCCAAAATTATTAATGCTGACTGCAGAATACGTAGAATTCAAATTTTATGTTAGGTACTTTGGTTGAATATGCAAGAGTAGGGTTAAGTCTACAAGACTCGTTCATGCGTAAACAGAGAACAAAAGAGTTTTAAACTCAGAAAGTAGACTGAATTAAAGCACTTTGAAATTCAACTCATACATAAACATATATTGTTTTAGCTAAACCTTTTTGTGTTCAATCAATTTATTGTTCCAACACACTACATCAAACATGATCATTAGCGACAATTAATTAACGATAATAGCTTAATTACCGTTAAATATGTATTTTTAGCGTCAATTAACACTTTTTGTATATGTCTCTAAAGCCTTTAGCGACTTTGGTTCTAATGAAATTTAACTAATGCCGGTAAAAACTTTAGCACTATTTATTAATGTCTATAATTATTACCGCTAAAAGTTGTTTTTGCTATAGTGAGATAAGCTATGCTTGAGAAACTTATGAAGGAATGTGAATGTAACGAGGCATATTTTGCGGAATTAAACTAGAATCAAGAGGAGCGCTCTTTTAAGTGTAACATATGTTACTCGAATTTTTTAAAAATATTGATGCACTTGCTTTATTATCCGTGATATTCGGCCAACTTTTTCACATAACCCAACGTGTCCTCCTTCAAATCTTCATACTTGAAGAAGAACACTCTCTCAGGTTCATAATCAAATTATCAACTTTTATCACCGTCCACCGACACTTGTTGGCTGAATAGGATCATTGCAAATTTGCACTATTTATTAAAAGGCTCGAGTTTGAGTTTGAGTTAGAGTTGACAGCACAACTGTATGGCTTCGAGGTAGAGGACTTGTCATGGTTTAACAAATTTAAATGAATGCATAAAAACATGTACATTAGTCATAATAAACTAAACTGAGTAAAAGATTCTGTCTGAACAGAATAACAAAGGAAGGAGATGATCCATTTTTTCGGTTTATAACCAGCTCAAACATAGTCATCTTTCCATTACGTTTTTTCGCACTTCTGAATGCAAAATCAGTTATATTTTTTAAAAAATCATTTGAGAATGTTAGAATCGAAACAATCAGGTGTCATACGGGAGCTAACAAAGCAAATTTCAAAACACCATGAATAAGAAGACACATAAGAAATATACCAAAAGATACAAATTTAGTGTGATTTGATCAGCCAAACTACATATACATAAGAGATGAGTTATCCACTATCATTATAACAAAAACAACCTTTAGCGGCAATAAATATACATATTACTCCCTCCGTCCACAATTGTTTGTCAGGGTAAGGTCATGCACACCCCTCAAGGAACATTTAATAGAAGGTGTAATTTGACAAATATAACCCTATTATACCAAGAATACCAAAAGTCTACATAACTTTTCAATTGAACTAGACTATCATTAAGGGCAGAATTGGAAAAAGGTGATTAATTGTTTCTTGATTGTTTAAATTGACAATTAATCTTGGACATCTATTTTTAGTATACCTGCCAAATATTTTTAGTGATAAAGCCTTTACCGACATTAGTTAAATGTCATTGGATCCAGTGTTGCTATAGGTTTTAGGGACATTTACAAAGAGTGTTACTTAAATGCCGCTAAAAATACATTTTAGTGACAATTAAGCTATTTTTAGCGGCAATTAAGCTATTGCCGTTAATTAATTGCCGCTAAAGATCATTTTGATGTAGTGTATATACATTTGAGAGTACAAAATATAGAGAGGAATACTTCACCCAATTCATCCGAAATACAAAGAGGTTCACACAAGTGATAATCCCTGAATATTCTCCCCCTACGTAGAAC